AGGACGTTTTGTCACTTTATACATGATCTGCTTATGTCACACGACAATGGATCATTTTGAAAAATATAGCTTTCTAAGTGTTTATCAGCATACTGACAAACCGTATTTAAACATGTTAGCGATAAACTAAGGTTGAAATGCTTTATGTTCTTGCTTTCTGTAGATCATCATTTCTTCTCAATATTTTAAAATCCTTCATACTAGAAGTATTTTCGTACGCTACGCCTTTCTGGAGTAATTCGTACGAACTTGAGACGTAGTTGATAGAACTTTTAACTAAAACTGTATGTTTACCGACATAATGAACTTTGGCTAGTACGTTGTAAAAAAGCAGCTATTGTAACAAACTCAATTTTTAGTGTAGACTGATCAAAAAGCTAAATCCACCCTAAAGCAAACCACATATTATTTGTCTAAATGGCATTGTTTTCTTCGATTTTTAACAATAAATGTAAAAAATACATTTTTAGTGAAGAGCCTAAAACGGTTATTGAATTTTGAAAAGGCATCGAAAGTCGTGCAAAATGCACTACTTTTATTTGCTACTAATTGTTTGTGTAAATTACATCGATGCAAGATTGGGCTGTAAAGATTTGGAAGGGAACGATGTGGATTGGTCAGCACGAACTTCTTGTTTAAATAAAAGCCAAATGGAAACAGACCTTCAGATTACAATTCCCTTATAGGTTTGTCGCTATCAAACTTCCAGCTTCTGCTGATAAACAAAAAGGAAGGAGTTTTTTCTACTTTGATTCAAGACAAGAGGGATGGATAAAGAGTAAACTACTTATTACTAACAATAGATCTGCGATTGGAGCGACGATCAGCCAACTATACGGGATTGACGAGGTTTGACAATTGAATCAGATCCGTTGCTTACTGATTTTGACATCCTGTAGGGGCATACTTTTGCTATCGCATACAATGATGACAGTCCAGATGGCCCTGTGGAGGGTAAGCGTGGTCATAGTAAGGGAGTTGCGGTATTCGACGAAAATGTTGGGTTTTGGATGGTACACAGCGCGCCAAACTTCCCTCCTTCTAGTGGTGAGTGCTGAACAACACTACTTTGCTATTATATTCCTAAACTATAGCCTCAGACCAGCATACCATTTGAACTACACAAATGGCAGCATACTGAAGGCCTTACCATAGCTGTGATAACACTTTCGTAAAAATCATTTTGGACCATTTTCGATTCATCAATTCATCATCGCTAAAACTTGCACAGGCACACTTCTGTCGTGCCGTAGAAGAAAGTTGAAAGGTCTAGCAGGCCACATATTCGCTGCCCCAATACTTGCCCTAGGTTTGCTGTTTTTATAAGTAAAGGCAGTCGAAACTGCTAAACAAAAAAATTTTCCTGCAATTGTAGCGGAATGTTAAAACGAAAATGATACGAGTGGACCGTGAACCATTGTATTTTGATCTCACAACAATTCTAAAAATCTGCAGCTGTACGTTGCGAAAAACTCTTCCCGACGACGTAGCAAAAAATGTGCGGAAGTGAAAGACAAAAACTACGTTTATATCACGCTTTTGATGAGCTTGCAATTTTCCTCATCTCTTCAAAATAGGAGAACCTCCACTATAAGATATTATTCTACAAAATCTGAGAAAATGTGAAGGGAGCCACCTCCCGACCTGGTGATTACCTTTAGTACATCCATGAGAATTTTTTGGGATCATAAAGCTGAAATTGTTCAAAAAACCGCCTAATCGTCTTTTATCTCGTCATCAACAATTTCCCATACTTCTATTAAAGTGATTGTAACAGCTATAATTTCATTGAGACTAACAGCATATTGAAGAGTTTCATTTCCCTTTTAGGAAAGTACTCCTACCCTTCAACAGCTGCCAACTTTGGGCAGTCGTTCCTTTGCATGTCTCTTAGCTCGAACTTCTTGGAAGATGTAGGACAATACATGCTATACGCTCAAG